TTTTAAAATGTTCTATTGCTAATTTATCACTTTTTTCAATAGGATCCCATTAGGTACACATGTTTTAAGTTTTTAGATACTTAATTTATCTTATTATACTTAGTTTTCCTCTAAATTACCATAGTAATTCTTTGTTTTAGCAAGTCTAACATCATGTTTGCTTACTAGAATGCAATGAAATGGAATTGATTGAAAAATAAAAACAAAAAATGAACTAAATTACTCTTCTCCCATGGTAAACATGATAAAACTTATTAATATATACTATAAATGTGAGAATTATCACATCCTCTAAAAATTTGATGAATTATAATTCCTAACCCTATGAACTGAATCCCCTTTCTTCCTTATGAATGTACTCATATATTCCCTTTGATTATTTTATTTGTATCTTTATTTTTTCTATTCACTCCATTCTATTCTAGTAAGCAAATGTGATCTAAATCTTTTACCATGGTAGATCTTTTTCTACCATGATAGTGTTCTGAAAAGCAAGGTTTACTTTTCATTACTATGGTAGATTTTTTTTTTCTACCATGATATATATGTAATGGGCAAGTAAGTTGTGAAATTTTATAATTGTCAAAAAAATTGATTTAAAAATTTAGAGGGTTACATGAGTATAGGTTTAAACTTGATCTTGTCAGTTAAAAGTGTTAGAGGATAGTAAATGTGAATTGGTTGCAAAGAAATATAGAGTGGAACCTAAAGCGTATTAACTTCTATCTCTAACAGCAAGTAGTTATTGAATGTAGAAGCAAAAAGATTTGTTCATATTTTACAATCTTCTATCTTTAAAAACATTAGATTTGATTGTAATAACTTCCTTTTTTTCCCTCACCTTTTCACCATATCCTCCCTCCCTTCCTCTGTGTGTGTGTGTGTGTTTTTTTTTTTTTGAGATAGAAAGAGGCTCGTGCCTTGCCATGGTTGTTGCTTAAGTTGAAGATGTACTAGTATCTTCTGCTAAAGTTCTCCATGAGACATTGTCTTTATCCACCTTTTTCTACTGTGATCTTAGCTCCTCAGATAATGGAGATGGAGGTCACCTGAGAAAGGTGGGGTCAAGCTAAACGTAATGGTGTAAATAGATGATAACCAAGCTTATTAGAGTTCATAATTTCTTGTGAAGATGTTTGATATGTGAAAACCTAGTTCTTACTATAATTTCTTTTAAGAAGAGTGCATGTGCATTAGGTTGATTGCTTGAAGATCATAATTTTGATGCAATCAAAATAATAGTTACTCATATGCCTTGAGCTTGGTATTTAGGATAGCCATTAAAGAGAGTCGAGAAGAAATCAATGCGATAGACAAAAGAAAGTGAACTAAAAAGTTGGAGTTCAAAAGTTGGTAAATGACGAAACTAAAATACCCACCATCATTAGACAAAAACACAAGGAGTATATATTTATGGGGTAGAGATATAACACAGCAACAAACTATAAAGAAAGGAAATCAATACAAAGTGTGGGATAGAGTTGTGCAACCATATTTTGATAGATAGAAAGTGATCCATGACCTAGAAAAAAGATAGTGAATGAACTTGAAAGTAACAAAATGAAATATTTAATAGGAACAGAAGTGTGTAGTAAGGAGTGACAAACTGAACCAACTGCAAAAGTGTAACTCTAATTATTCACATTACAACAAAAGGAGAATGAGTTGCAGAAGCAACCAAGGACCATTTTGATTTGTGAATGAGTAATTGAATAGGGATCCAAGAGTATTATAAGGAGTGCTTTTAAATTCAAAAAAAGGAGGGAAGCAACTGAAGTGAAATTGAGGGAATAAAAAAGAGTGCTTTTGAATTTGAAAAAGGAGGGAAGGAGGAAAAGTTAATCAATGAAATGGCAGAGTCAAAAGCGAGCTATCACCATTTGTTTGAGCTAGGATTATTAATCTCATAGGTCATGTTTGGTAGCATTGAATTGGCAAGGTGGAAATGAAATCAAAGATGGAATTCTAATTTAAGCATGATTGATATGCAAGAATTATAATTCTTAAAAATTCTAATTCTACAAAAAATGTTAGAATCTAATTCCATTATATTGATCATGGAATTGCTTCAATTCCCTTGAATTCAATTTGTGAACCCCACTATCCTCATCTTTTTTGTCCATTTACAACAAGGTAGGTCTTTTTAATTTTGAAAAAAAGGTAATTTGGTCTTTTCTTATTTTAAGTACATATACAAATTAATATTATATTAGAATTCCATCTTCATACCAAACACATGTTTAAAACTCAATTTTATTTCGATTCTGATTTTGATTTCAATTCTGATTCCAATTCCATTAAAAACTCTTCCATCATACCAAACGAAGCCATAGTGAATTGTGCGAGGAGTCATGGAGGAAGACCGGCTTGGCTCAACAACAAATGAATAAAGATATTGAAGTTGTCAAGTTTTTATATTTGATTGGCTATAGAGGGTGAAAAATCGTGCAATTAACTTAATCTTTTGAAGATTTGGTAAAACTATTAATTGTCATTTTCATAATGTCTTAGGAGCTATGATTGAAATAAATAATGAACATTTGAGACAACCTACTAGTGAAGAAGTTGCTCTTGAAATACTTAATAAAAATAACATTTTCCCATATTTTAAGGTGAATTTTATTTTCATTTCAAATAAAATTAGTAAATTAATTCTTGATTTAAGAAAATGATTTTTAACAATATTGTGGTGGAGCAATAGATGAAACCCATGTACGACTAAAAGTCCCAATACATGATGCCTCCAGAATTCGTGAGAGGAAAGATTATCCCATGCAAAACATTTTAACAGCTTGTTCTATTGACATAAGTTTCACCCATGTGTTGGCTGCTTGGCCGAGTGAGAAGGAACAGCATCTTATTCTAGAATTCTATAAGATGCATCAAGATGCCAAACTTCTCAGGTTAAGTGTCTTGACCCTAATGGTGATGAAGATATGCTTTGATGGAGGCATTAGATCAATTGATGGCAAATTTTCAACCAAATTTGCTCACAAAGTCATTGAAGATTATAAGAGAGATGTTAATTTTGAAATATGATTAAAAAAAATCTGAAAATCAAATGCCCAACATTTAAAAAGATTAAATATTTTTTTGGGGGAAGTCGCAAGCACCTTACTAAATTCACTAAAGTTGACGGTGCCGCCATTTGTCACAGATTTTGCCCCCTCCAATTGCAATTTCCTTTCATACCTCAATCCATATTCTTAGGAATTGCCATAAAGAAAAACGGGTTTGGATTAATATTTTATTTGCTCTTCTTGTAGAGTTGGATTTTATGGAATGTAAAGAATAAAACAAGGAGCTCAAAATCAAGAAGCAACTCTTTGGCAAAGACTACTTGTTTGACTTTGCTAGAACATATGAAAAGATGGGTGTAGAAGCTTGTACATGGATTAAGAAGGACGTGATTATGACATTGCTTTCAAAAGCGCTCAAAACATAATAAATGACTTCAACTTAAAAGGTCACATGAACATATTAATTACCAGGAAGAGAGATATTTTTTTTGTTTTTAAATATAAAAGAAAATAATTAATTCACATAATTTAAATTAGTTAAGTATAATAATTGTGTCTCAAATTAAAAAATTTAGACTAAATTATCCCTATAATTAATGAAACAAAAATTTATATTGTACAAATAAATATTGACTTTATGAGGGATAATTTGGAGAAAATGTAATAAATGTTCTTTAAAATTTGTAGTTTTGTTTATAAATAAAAACAAAGAAAAACATGATAGTTTATTTTATATTAAAAAGCTGAGGAAGTATATAATCTAAGTGGAACCACCCAATTCAAGATGGGAGACCTTGTAGATTCAAATAAATCTATTATTTTGTTGTTACTTTACAAAGGTATCATTCAACACCCTCAAGGAAATTAGCTAAGGGGTTTCACAAAATTACTGGCCTTCTGGGTTACTATGCAAACATTGCTACTAAATTTTTGTGAGTTCTAGAATGGGTTTAACCTTTGTTGAAAAGCAAGTTACTCCCATGTCAAAGTTTACTGCAGCTCTAATAAATCAATTCATCTCATACAAAGCAAATATGGCTAGAATGAATAGAATCAAAAGTCTTTTTGTGTGTGACTGACAAGTTTTTATTAATCATATTTTTAAAGAAGTAAATCATTGTACCAATTGGCTTGCTAATAAGTGAACATTGATAATTTAATATCAAAATATTAGCTAGTGAATTGTACTTGTGCACATTGAATTATTAAACCTTCTTCACATTTTCCTTGATAAATTGACATGTGAATTTTATTAAAATGATAAGTTTACTCAAGCTTTTAATTAACAAGCAAACACCATATTATAACGACACCTGCATTATAAACTTTGTAAATAAGTTCACTTTAATAAATTGACGAGAAAACATTAAGGAAATAAAAAGTTCAATTAAAGATTTAACAAGTAAACAATTTAAAAATTAAATTAATAACATATATGAAATTTTCCACCATATAACTAAAAAGCAAGTGTGGCTTGGAAGCCCTGTATTTTTTTTTTTTTAAATAATGAGCAAGGAGTCTGGTGTGGCTTAGAAGCCCTTTAAATTTTTTTTGTTTTTAAATTAATGAGCAAGGAGTCAGGATTCATACCCCGTTACCACTTTGAAGATTTTTTTCGTCCTTGAATGCGACTTTCCAAAAATCAATATAATGAAGTCAGGGAATTAATTTTTTTTTTTAAATATAAAGGCAAGCAGTACGGCACGGCATTGAATTTTCCGTTAATTTTATAGACTTAAATTAAAAGGGCATCATACCAAACAAAATTCTCGCTTTTCTTTGTACGTGAAGGCGAAAACAACCTTCTTCCCACCCTTTGTTCTGTCCTTCCTTCTCACTTTCTCTCTCTAAAACAAGCAAGCATTCCTCTTATTCATTCCCTTCTTTCCTCAAGAAATCTCATAGTGTTTGGGTTACTATTGTGTTCCAATGGGACAGCAATCGTTGATCTACAGCTTCGCGGCGCGCGGCACCGTGATCCTCGCCGAGTACACTGAGTTCTCCGGCAACTTCACCGGCATTGCATCTCAATGTCTCCAGAAACTCCCCTCCTCCAGCAACAAATTCACCTACAACTGCGACGGGCACACATTCAACTACCTTGTCGACAATGGATTCAGTAATTCTCACGTTGTCTTCTTTTCTTCTTATGCTGATCTGCAACTCTTTTTTTATTTTTTTGCTTTTCTTTATTTCCCGTCCTTTTCCCTTTAAGGCCTTTATGAAAATTCGTTGTTCTTTGTTCTTCTGTTCATTTCTTGGTGGAAATGTAATTAGTTCCACGCGTGATACCGGTGCTGATTTTAATTGGGTTTAGACATTTCGATGATCCACTTGATGTCATCGAGTTTCTTAATGATCATCGGTCTCCCATTGTTGATGTTGGCTGGAGTTGTATGCACTTGGTTGTTTTTACTGCTAGAATGTGAAAAAGGAGAAGGAGCAGGGGTAATAAATTCAACTGAACATTGAGTCGTTATTTTTGGTGGATGGAATTGTTATTAACTTAATATTTTTTTTATAAAAACAATTAAATCAATTTTTCTTTATGGTTCTATCTTTAATTTTCTGCCATTGAATCTGCTGTAGTTGGTTCGTTAATTAGCTTAGGAACTAGAAATGAAATCGAGGAGGTAATTCAACCTATATATTTGCACATGCGCATCAACCACAAATTTCTCAAGGTGAAAATCTCAGTGGCCTGAAAGTGTAAAGGTATAAAGTGGATTCATTAAGGTTTTTATTAGTTTGGCATAATCATATGCTTATGTTACTTAACTTCAGTTTCCATGTTTGTTTCAATCTTCTCTTGTATTGAAGAGGTAAGATTTTATATGATGCTTTGTTAAAAAGTGGAGCCCAAGTTAAAAGTTGATGCTCCTTAGGTATAATTTTATAACTGAATCTTAGTGTGCGAATTATTATACTTCTGATCATTATAATTTATATGTGGCATTAAATCATTACTTCTGATTGTTTAAAATGTTTTACCCTAGAGATGTGTGAGATATTCTGCATGAATATCTTAATATTGATAACTTTTCTAAGAGTTCAAACAACTTTGAGGATACTGCAATTCATGATCTGATAGAGTTCGTGAAATAAGAGGAAATCAAGGAAGGCAATTAGGTTAGAAGATAACATTGTTGTTGGTTCAGATGTTTGGCCTTTGGATCCTGGTTATAAGGAAAAGCAATTGATGGCCTAGTGATGTGTTAGAGTCTGCCTAGTGTTGTGTTAAAAGTCTAGGGGGTTTGGGCTGCATTAGAGTCACCTTTTGGGATCTCTAAATCTTCCCATTTGCCTAGAGAGAGGTGTGGAGTATTTTGCAAAAATTGTGGTCAAGTGAGAAGAGTTCTAGCCTCTCGAATGTTAGATTGGGGGTGGAGAAGATCATCTTTCTTCATCATTTATCTTCTACTTAGTGTGTGTTCGTGAGTGAGTGACTTATATTTTGTGTTGTTGTTTGGTGTGTGTATTTTATGCTGTTTCTGTCTGCACTTTGTAAGTTTCAATTCCTTATTTTGCTTGTAATCCAAATTTGTTATTCAGCAATAGTAATTTTCAGTCCCCATTTGTGCTGTTTTTTCTGGTTTATGCTTGTTTAAAGCTTATTAGAATAGAGGGTTCTATTGTTATCCAAATAAAGGTAATGAGATCCATTTGATAATTTTCTGTATCATAGTACAATTTGATTAAATCATCAATTTCTTCCTTATATAACCATTTTACCTGATCATTTGGCATTACTCTAAATCAAGAGACGTACAAGATGTGATACAAATCACAGATATGCTAACCAAATTTATGGACGCATACACATGTTGCAGTATTTTAAAGAAACTCCTCATTTAACACATAGCTGCACATTAAAGAACAATGCAATATAATACTAATAATCATCTTCCAAAATTTTAAAAATCAAATTGGAAGAATGCAACCTGATTTTATGGGGGGCTTTCCCTCCTTGGTAGATTTTTTTTTTCTTAATTCTTTATCAGCTTAATTCATTTCACAAAGCTGACCAACTTTTGTGATACAATGTTCCATGTGACTACGTTCTGTGCAGTGGGGTGCCAAAAGATTCACATTGCTGGCCAGAAAAATTAATATGCCTTCAACTTTTTGTCATCTTCAATGGATGTGAACTTTCTCGGCCTTCTATGTGATCATACCACTCCTAGTTGTTCTATGGGAAACTTCCATTTTGAATTGGGAGGTTTTGGATAAAGCAACTTGATTATCAAACAGGAAATTGGGAAACGTTTTCCTCTGGCTGTTGAAGATTTTTCTGCATTTGAGCTCTAAACTTGGCTGTTGAAGATTTTTTGAGTTGAATGCTTAGCTTCTACCAGGCTTTGATTTCCTGTCAAATATTCTCAAATGAAAATAAAATGTCTAGTAAGTCTTATTTGTAATTAAGGTGTACAACACTGAGACTTTTGGATCGACATTATATATTTCGCTTTTCATATATGAGGAATCTGCTATACATTGTTGTGCACTTGTGTCAATTCACTTTATTAATTATCAAAGAATGATTGAGAGCTAATTTAATTTCCTTTATTAGCTTTTGGTTTTGCAACATACTCTCAATCCAATTATCTCAGTGAAAATCTGAATCAAGCAATTCTGCTTTGCTTGTTAATAATTTCATGTATATTAAAATTGTGGTGCTTTTTGTTCTTCAGGTATTGATTTACTTTTTCTTCTGAAATTACACTCATCATTAGTGGGAACTAATTCAATCTGTAGCACTGCATGATGTAGCTTACTGTGTGGTTGCCATTGAATCTGTTGGTAGACAGATTCCATTTGCTTTCCTTGAACGTATCAAGGAGGAATTCTCCAAGAAATATGCTGGAGGAAAAGCTGCAACAGTGGCTGCTCGTAGCCTCAACAAAGAGTTCGGGTATTCCCATAAGATGTGTGTGTGTGTGCATGCACGCACGTATTTCTTTCATGAAATCCTTGGTTATTAATATTTGTTGTTTATGGATTCAGATCCAAGTTGAAGGAGCAGATGCAGTACTGCATTGATCATCCGGAGGAGATCAACAAGCTTGCCAAAGTGAAAGCTCAGGTTTCTGAAGTCAAGGGAGTTATGATGGAAAATATTGAGAAGGTAAAAGGGCCTATCGTCTTTACAACTTCAAGGGTAACTACGGTCAAAAGTTACATTTGTCTTTTGATGGATGGGTAGCAAGCTGAAAGTCATGTAATAAAATCCCTTCAATTGAATTCATGGTTGGATGTTTTACTCAAAAAAATTATGGTTTTTTTTTTTTACCAGATAAAAAAATTATGGTTGGATGTAACATTTATAATTATGTATGTTCAGGTTCTTGACCGTGGAGAGAAGATTGAACTTTTGGTAGACAAAACTGAAAACCTTCGTTCTCAGGTTTGTTATCATTACTTATTGAGTAACTCAGCAATTTTGTCAAATTCTTAGAGGATAATCTAAAAAGAAATGGATTTCTTATATACATTTATTATTAAATTTCTATTTGGTGTTGTTAGTTCTCAATTGTAAAAGATTTATAATTATTGTAAATATTAATAATGAGATTAAATAAAACCAAAATATGTTGAACTGTAGAACAATGAAATTGTGCAAGATTTTTCATTGTGCTTATACGCTTATTAGTTCAATGATGGTTGTCTCAACATTTTTAATATAATTGAAGATGTATATGATCCAGAAAACCAGTGAGCAGCGCATCGAAGTTTCCCTTGGTTATGTTATTCCAAGTAGAAATCTAGGTTACAGAATATATAGGCTTATATAGCAAGTCTTATTTGATAATTCTAATCCACTAAACCAGGAAAAATATTAACTAATATAATCTGAGACAATAACAGAATTATGTAATATGAAGCCTAGTCTGTGACACTCACCATAAAGTTGGTGAATGGATGTTTAGCATTCCCATCTTGCTTCTTAATTAGCCTTCAAACTTCACCCACATTAGGGCTTCAGTTAAAATATCTGTAACTTGGCTCTGAGTATACATGTAGCTGAAATTGGTGAACCCTAATTCAAGTTTTTCGTTTGTGAATTTCCTATCCAGCTCCACATGGTTTGTCCTGTCATATGATGGACTGGGTTGTTAACAATGCTGATAGTAGCCATGCTGTCAAATTTAGTTTCATAGAATTGTGCTTCTTTAATTTGTCGAGGAGTCCTTTTAATCACAATCCCTCAAAAAACCCCACGGACAATGCTCTGTACTTTGCTTCAACACTATTTCTTGCTACTAGAGATTGGATCTTGCTCATCCAGTCGACAAGATTACCTTACATATATGTGTGTGCAGTTTTATCACTGTCATCACTCTTTTTGAAAAAAATATAACAAATATCATTTCAGGGATCTTCATATATCTCAATACTCTGTATACAAACTTCAGTGGGTTTCTTCAACAATCAACACACATTCTCTTCTTCACCAAACTGCCTTTATATTTGGTTTTCATGGTAGGATCTGTTAGATTGCAACCTGGCATCCATCTCTACTTCAATAAATCAATTGTGTAATTTTTCTTTTTTTTTTTTTTGTGAAACTACAATTCCCTTTTTGAACGTTGCAACCTCCCCTCTTAGAAAAGGCCACAGTTCACCATGAACATTAATTTCAAATTCTCTTAAGAGTAAGGACTTCAGTTGTTTAGTTTTCTCTTTGTCATTACCACTGATTACTATGTCATCAACATAGACAATTAGAATAGCTCTTGACCTAGATGTGGAGATCTTGGTGAATGGGGTGAGATCTAACTTGATCGTGACAAATATCCATACCCTCTAATGACCTATAAAATTCTGTCAAACCATGCACTAGGCAATCACTTGAGACCATAAAGTGATTTCTTCAGCTTTCACACTTTATTGGTTCTAAACTGCATGGTTACTTGCCTCTTCTAAGTAGTGGTGGAGCCAAGATCCTAAGCCAGAGGGTGCAAGATAATTTAATTTAAAATTGATAATTTTTAAAATAATAATTTAATGATTAAAAATAAGGGAGAATCACATTCAGGGTCCCTATATGAGAAAAAATGGTAGTGAGGGCATAGAACAATAGAAGGCTCAGTGATGCACAAGACAAAGTGCATCGATTCAGTTGTGCATGCTGAGCTTTTTATTGTTATGGGCCCTCTCTACCATTTTTTCTCATCTGGGTGTCCTGAATGCGGTTCTTCCTAAAAATAATAACCATACTATGATTAAAACTGTAATAACATGAGTAGATTAATAATCATTTTTCTTTTTGGAAAATTATATTGAATTGGTTGATATGATCTTTTATGTAAATATGTTCATATCTTATTTCAATCATTAAAATATTACATATTTAATAAGCTTTTAAGATTAAATATTTTTTATTTAGCCCAAAGAGTGCAAAATATAAAGAGTAGGGGGTGTAAAGTTGCAAATTTTACATGCCCTACTTGTAATTTTTTCCCAATGCAAACCCTCACTGTAATGTGGCTTTGCCAATGCTTCTAAGTCCCCACTTAAAAATGCATTCTTCAAATCAAACTGATGAAGTAGCCAATCAATGTTGGAAACAAGGGAGAACGAGACCTTGATAGTATTGAACTTGGTGACGGGCAAGGAGTCTTTTGATTGTCAATTCTTTAGATTTGTCTAAACCTTTTCTGAGACTAGCCTTGCTTTTTGCCAATTTATTGTGAAAACTCACTTGCAGCCCTCAAGTTTCTTTCATCCTAGTAGATCACAAACCGCCCATATTCCGTTATGGTCTAGGGCATTTAGCTTATCCTGAATTGTCATTCCCTATTCTGGTTGGGCTATAGACAACCAATATTCTGGGGAATCTTCTCATTGCTAAGGTTTGCAACAAAGGACTTGTATGTCGACAATACAACAACAAGAAGTCTTATCCCACAATGTAGGCATGCTACTATTGGGCGAAGTGTGGCAGGATCTTGCCCCTTTTCTTAAGGTAATGAGAGCACCTATCACTATTGTGCCCTCCTTATTGATGTTGGCACTTGGACCAGGATCAAAGGCATGCATCATGGGAGCTGGCTCTTGCACATTCTTCCTCCTTGAATAGGTCTGCCATCTGAAGTCCCCTTTTTTCACATTATCCACGTTATCCTAATGTTTAGTTTTAGTTTGATTATTAGTTTCAGGTCTGGCAAGTTCTTCTGGAGCTGTGATAAGAGGTTCTGAACTTGGTGATTGTATAATGACTGGGATAGTGGTTGAGATGTCATTATTTTCAGCGTTAAATTCCCATTCTTGTACTCTCTCCCAAATGGGCAATATGGGGAAGTGGGGCTGAAGCTGAGTTTCAAAGAATGTAGCGCCTATGGTAGTGTAAGGCTGCTTTGCAACTGATGAGTAACACTTAGATGCGTTTAAGAGCTTGTTGATCAAGTTGGGATGGCATCTATCACTTTTGTCTTACTGATGTTGGGACTTGGACTGGGATCGAAGGCATGCATCATGGGAGCTGCCTCTTGCACATTCTTCCTCCTTGAATATGTCTGCCATCTGAAGTTCCCTTTTTTCACATCATCCACGTTATCCTCAGTTCTAGGTTTGGCTTGATTATTAGTTTCAGGTCTGGCAAGTTCTTCTGGAGTTGTAATAACAGGTTCAGAACTTGGTGATTGTATAATGACTGGGATAGTGGTTAATATGTCATTATTTTCAGCGTCAAATTCCCATTCTTGTACTCTCCCCCTGAATGGGCAATATGTGGAAGTAGGGCTGACCGGCCGAGTTTCAAAGAATGTAGCGTCCGCGGTAGCGTAGGGCTGCTTTGCAACTGATGAGTAACACTTGGATGCGTTTAAGAGCTTGTTGGTCAAGTTGGGATGGTCCAGTATAAAATGCCACAACCCACACCAACTTTGGAGGGCATACAATATTTACGATAACACGAAGAGTCCGCGACATGGACTGTGTTTACGAGGCCTAGGCTGTGATGGCAAATCACTAATAAGCCTAGCCTCTTTATTTAATATTTTCATTGTGTTGAGTTTGGTAAGGTGGTGTCTAACGCTTGGATTTAAGAGTTGTCTAAAGTCAGCTTCTAATTGGTGATATTCGTCTTGAAGTATACTTCAGTGATGTGGATGCCTTCGTCTGGTTGCGTTTTTTTGTTTTTGGCCTTAAAAGAAATTATGTGCGATTCATATTAATCATGCTGTCGCATGGTTTGATCTTGATTTGTTGTTTTGCAGGCTCAAGATTTTAGGCAGCAGGGAACCAAGATTAGGAGAAAGATGTGGTTCCAGAATATGAAGATAAAATTAATAGTTCTTGCCATCATAGTTCTACTGATTCTCGTTATCGTTTTTTCTATATGCGGTGGCTTCAAGTGTGGTAAATGAGTCTTATTTTTTTTTCATAAGGTTGTCACTCGCAGATTGGTTTTTCCCTACATAATCAATGTTTTCCCCCCTTATTTTTAACTTTAATTTTTTTTAATACTTTCCTTTAACTCGTATGATATGTTGATCTCTTTGCAAGACATTGCTTGTATAGTGTGCAATATCCTCCCTTCTCTCCCTTCGTCTTCTTTATTAAGGATCTCTTTTTCCTATTTGCTTCACCGACTTTGCCTTCATGTAGTGTAGGCGTAATGGCGCATTGGAGGAAAAATAAGTGCGCTTTTATTTTCAAACTACTAAATGCAGGCGGTTTGAATTCCTTCCCCCCCCCCCCCCCCCCCTCCTCTGGGAGGCAAAGCTAGAAGAACGAAAGAACGAGTTAAAGCTAAGTTATCGAGTATTAATTCAAGAAAAAATGCATGACACTTTCAACTTCCTAAACTGCAAATCAAAAACACCCCCCCTTCTTCTTTTTTATTTATAAATTGAAGCTGAAATCTATTAAAAATTAACGTATACAACATTTCAATATGTCCTTAACCTATTACCAATTGCCTGGGTTATTCTTGTTTCCGATATATACTAACAAGGTCCACAACATCTTACTATGAACAAAATGGCAATTTAAAAATTGTTACATCTATGGTTACGATCCCACAACCATCGTTGTTCTTCTATTCAATTCAATAATAAAGAATGTCCAACACTTTTCTCAATCCACGTGAACTCGTAAATATAAGTGTTAAAGTGCATCTTTCTTCCAGTATTTTCTTTTGATCCTTTCGAAAGGAATACTGAATACTCCTGTTTTTATATATAAAAAAAATTATATCACAATTTAAAAAAATTAGTTAATCATAATAATTATATTTAAAAATAAAAAAATTAGATTAAAATGCTCTATTAATCAACATAAGTATACATTAATTATTTTTTGTTAATGTAAATTATAAAGGATGATATAGAAAATATATAATAAATGCTTATTGAAATAGGTAATTTTAATTATATAAAAAAATAAGAAAAAATGGCAGTTTTTCCTACAAAAAGAAATGGAGGAATACCTTCTACAAATAAGTTAAATACTTTTTTCCTAAATCATTTTTCTGGGCAAAAATCTCCCTTCACTAATAATCCATTAACTTTGTCATTTTCTATTAATGTGAAATATTCTTCAGTGTTAGTTTGTGTGTAAACTCTTTTTATATGAACACCAAGCACCTTAAGGTTTTGTTAAAATAAAATTTATTAAATATTATTTTAATATTTAATTTTAAATATTATTATTTATAAATATTCAACAAAAAATTATAAATTATTTTTTTAAATATTAATAGCTCGAACAAATGTTTCAAAAATTTAATGAAGATTTGAAAATTGTGTGTGAGGATTTACAAATAGCAACAAGGACAACAACAATATTTTCAAATGAATTATAGAAAATGACTTTATTAAAAAATTAAAGCTAAATTACACACAACTCTCCTAAACTTTGAATCATATATAAATAACTCTCTTAACTTTTAAAACTTAATAATAAATATTCTTGAGCTTCCAAGTTTTTACAAGTAACCCCTAATCATTCTTTTAAATTTTAATTTCGTATGCATTTAAGCCTCTAAACTTTAATTAATCTACAGATAACCTTCCAAACTTTAAATTATGTATAGACAATTAATGCATAAAATTAATCAAATAGAATTATATCTATAAATATATAAATCAAAGGGGCTTCATTGTAAAATTTTAAAGGTTAAGAAGATTATGTGTACATGGTTTAAAGTTCAAAGGAGTAATATATAATTTAGCCAAAAATTAATAATGATTTAAGTCTTTTATATATAATGCATCCAAAGGTGACCACACAACCTGCGTTACCTGCAAATGTAACTGGAACTAGAAGAGAGGCAAGTAGTATTTCTCAGGGGTTCACGAAACATGTGAATGTTTTTTAGTTTTTTATAATTCACCATGAGTTCATGACATTATCGACTCCTTACAAAATGTACATCTGCATGTCATAATTCTAAAATCCAAGGACGGACGAAAAGCAGAAAACGCTGGGGTTTGAACAAGCGAATTACAAGTCGATTTCCATATTGTCTATAAGCCTGACTTTCCCAAACCATGCAGCAACGCAGAAGACAACAGGAGCCTCAATCGATTCCACGGCCTCCAAACTCTGTTGATCTACAATCTGCACGCAGAAACATATAATTGGCATTGAGGTAAAAAGCTTTCAATGATCACAGATCAAATTATAAATTGCTCTGGCTCCATTTGCAGTGGCGATTTGCATATATACCAATGCCTGTGGAGCGCTTCCATCACCGGCAATATCAATTTGGCATTCCAAGTGTGTCAATGCACCTTTGGCAGAAGATTATATTTTGCGGTCCAACCAGAATAGTTAAAATGTGACAAACCACTGGCATTTTGAATAGTCTAAATCCTTGCAGTTCTTGTTAAATTATGATGAGACCATTGGTTAGTGGCAGAAAATGATCTATGGTACTAACATCCAACCTCAGTTTTTTTATAAAATGCATGTAGGTGATTATTATGATTATCACATCAGTATTTAAATCTAAAAACAGTAAGAGGGACAGTAATGTTTCCTCGCCAATTATACAGGCAACAGGTCTTTAGTAATCATCATCTGGTATTGTTTGCACAGACCTCTTGTTTCTAAAAATAATTTGGAAATCACAGTTTAGGATTGAGTAAATTATAATTTTACAAAATATCTAGCAGCACCTGCAGTGCAACGGAAATATATGTACAAGTTTAATGACACAATCACCCAAAGGGTAGTGGACATCACCAAAACACACCAAAAGAGAGAGAGAGAGAAACTCATGTAAGCCAGATCAATATAGAAGTTACCATTAAGGCATCCATTTTCGTAATTGATAATATTTAATCATCTATCGTAAGATCTCAATAGATTTCGAGAGAAAGAAGTAAGGACACAGTCTAGATAAATTACCAGCCTGCCACAGAACTATATGCTCCAGAGGAATACATAAATGCTTAAATTAGTAACTGCACTTATAATTTCGACCATTCCAAAATAAATAGAGAAAGGTTAAACAGACTTTAACATCTTACCTCGGCATAGTCAATCCTTCCTCCAGCTTCAGTTATGGCTTGGATGACCAAGTTTCTCAGCTTATTACAATCCATTTGGCCATTTGCTGCAGCTGATTTAGCTCCTAGTAATGATTTGTTTATAGATAGTGCCTGGGAAAGATTGAAGGACGGGACACAAATTTTAAGTGCGAATTGAAGATAGATGGACAAAAAAAAAAAAATTACTGCAGCTGACTCCAAGATATGGAGAGATTAGTAATGAATAATGAGCCAGAAGTTTTTGATCATTTTTTCCCCTGTGGTAGAAGCTTAATTTGCAATATCAGGTTATTTATCTCAAGAAATTAAAAAATATATATTTAATGAAAGATACCTTCTCCCTCTCTTCAGGTGAAAGACGCACATTGCGGGAACTCATGGCCAGGCCATCACTGTCACGTATTATTGCAGAACCTATCACTTCTATGGAAAAATCAAGATCCCTAACCTACAGCAAATCATCCACTCTATCCATCTTTAGCAAGAAAACAGCATAAAAAGCCTTTGCAACCAATATAATATAACCAATTCAGTAGGAAAATGAATCGAGCATAATGACCACTGTAACACTAAAGGATAATTGCCAAAGAATGCGATAATTTCACTCTTATCAGACATGATCCCAGTTCTTTGCTTCTTTGCCAAGTCCATGACTCCATATTTCCAAATAAACAATGAAGTAGCTCCAACCAGATAAAAACTTCACATGCATAAACAAGTATAACTATAAAAATCTGTCTTCCCACTCATTTGAACAGCATGGGAGATACGGAAGTGAATGAGTCAAAGAGTACTATCAAGTGCCCCTCGAATGAAAATCTGGTACCTATTTGTCACTTCCATTGGCTAATTGTATTAGAATACAAGGAGCAATTGTTGTAAGCACTATTTGTTTCGGGAGAGAAGGGGCAGAGATTGAATGCTGGCATGAGACCACATAGGCTCCACAGGTAGGGATGCAACCGTAGCATCTGCAAGCACAGACCTTACAGTGCCAGGTAGAAATTTTGAATGCAAGATTTATACTGAAATAGTTCATTTCAAGTGTTTATTCCAAACAAAATAATATAATGTCATCGACCTTTAGGTTCTAGATTCAAAGCATAGTAGGTAAACGGCATAAATAAAGCTACAGGGTAAGGACATGATAAGAGTTAAAAGTTATCCTTTATTTTCTTCCACTTTCCAAAAAGTAAAAAGGCCACTAATGATTCCCAACATTCTTACCATTCTCTGAATTATTCGCCACTGCTGATAATCTTTTTTTCCAAACACAGCAACATCAGGCTCCACTATATTAAACAACTTGGTGACGACTGTAGCAACTCCTCTGAAAAAAATAGGCCTGCTCTTTCCACAAAGACCCTTTTCCAAATTCTCAACCCTGACCCAAGTCTCGTGCCCTATACCCTTTTGCTCAATGCAAGACAAAACCGCAACATTATTAATCACACTTGCAGATTTCTTGTTGGTGTCAGTTCCCCCATAGTTGTAGAGATTATGGGGGTGGAATACAACATCAACACCACCAGGAACAGCCATCAGCTTTCGCACATCGCCATCAAAATCAGATGGATAAGTAGATAGGTCTTCGGATGGGGAAAACTGACCTGGGTTTACGTAGATTGAGACGGCGACCACGTCGGCGTGACGGTGAACTTCCCTGACGAGAGAAATGTGGCCTTCGTGAAGGAAGCCCATGGTGGGCACCAAGCCTATTGTTTTGCCTTGGGATTTCATCGTGCTCGACCATTTCCTCATCTGATTCTTATCGGATATTATCAATGGCTGCTTTGCCGCCATTGGAAATGATGCAGGGTTGAAGGCCTGAAGCTGAGATCATAAACGTTTCTTTCCTTTTCTGCACAAAGATGCTGTAGCTTGCAAAATTCACGTGCACTGTACATTTTGTTTTTTCCCCTCTAATAGGACTGAACATCCTCTACTACTAGGTGAACATTTTTCGTCTTAAACCATTATTAAAGGAGGGAAATTTTTATTTGCCTGAAAAATAATTTAGACAGAAAAATGTCATACTTAATTACTTATTAATACTGGATGTCGGTACTTCTAAAAAAAAAAAAAGTGCAAAACTCGGAAGGGATGAGGAATAGTAATGACCATCAGGACAGGGTCGTATTCTTTTCAAAACTCTTATTTATATCCGCTCCATTCCGGCCCCAAAATATCTCCTCAATTCAACATACAAATTCCCATGCGCGCCACACGGGAAAGCTTTGATGCCAATCATCATATAGTTAAGGTGGCACCACGGTCCACGTAGAAGCATACGTAGAAATATGCTGGCCCAATAAATGACTTTCTTTTTTATTTTTATTTTTCTTTTTATTTTTTTTTTTTTTGCGTGAGATTCAATATTATTCTTAATTTTTAACCTAAACTGATTCGGAAGATAGCTATCAAAGGGCACACCTTCTATCAAAAATTTAATTAAGATTATTCACTAAACTCAAATAACCCCTATCAATCCATTCAACTACTTAGCGGTATGGGTGGAAATAGGTTAAGTTGAGTTAGATTTTGATTAAATAAGCTTGAACTTATATAGTAAATTAGAAGCCTAAAGTCTGTATAAGGTTTTTTTTCACAATTCAAACCTGAACCTATCTAAAGCCTAGCACAGCCTAAAAACCTACTTAAAAGTAAGTCATTTTAATTAGGTTCACATTTTTATTTTAAACTCCTCAAGTATATTTTAGGACTATTATAGTATACAATATGTAACTTGATTTGTCAATTATAATATATAATAAGTGAAAAGACTTACAAATTACAATGTAATATAACAATATGAGAAGTCCAATACGATTGAAAACATAACTAAAAATGAAAAAAAAAAAAAGAACTCAAATGGTGAAACCGATGTTTGTGTTATATTACATAATATTTGTTTGTGTGTAAATAGGTCAGCCTGTTGGGCTCGTAGGTTTCTTGAATAAATAGGCCTATCCTATTTAACTACATAGATCTAATTAAGAGCCTAAATGTAACATTTTGAATTTTTAATCCTATATTAATGGTTGATTACAGAATGGATTAGCGATTTAATATGAAATTAGAATTTTGGATAGTGAAGTGTTGAATTGACTTGTTGGGATGTTATATGAGTAGATGTGAGAGGAAGAACAGCAGCCCGAAGTAGAGCGTGTGAGTATAGTGAAGATTTTTCTCATTATGCCATACGCCACGGCACATGGTGCAAAACTTTGATAAGTGAAAACGTGTACAGCTTGTAAAAATAGAAGGACAAGTAAAGAGGAGAGGGTCAGGCATGGAGAAGAGACGGAGGCTCTACTAGGGTAATGATTTTTGAGGGAAAGGATAACTTCTAACATATTACTTATCAAATAAGTCTCTTAATGCCTTAATCTCTAATTCTACCATATTTTCTTAGTTTAAACTATTAAAAAATTAAATTCAAAAGTTTTAAGGAGATGATTTCTTACCCTATAATAATCAAAAGGTCCTTTGGAATTAAACCAATACTTTGTGACTGATTTGAGTCAGAACAATAAAATTTTGAAGATATAAGCACAATTTGACATAATTTAGAGGGAGAGTAATGGGAAAAAAATTGATAATGGGTGTATTAGTGCCTAAATTGAATGGTAATTAGGAGCAAAGAATGGAAATAAGGCATGAATAAAGGGAATAGTAGTGATTAGATGTTTAATTGTAATAATTGGCACTTTTTATCAATGATGAAATTAACTTTAGTTGCCAATTTTATGTAGATTCTAGCATGTGACGCGTAAGTAACAAAAGCAAAATCGAATAAGGTTGTGCAACATGAGTAATCCTTTCTATTGAAAAGAAGAATTGAGATAACCATATAGTTTGTTATGTTTGTTAACTCATATAAATGCATTATTGTTCTGAGAGTTTTTATGCATGAATTTATATTGTAAACAATTTTAGCATGAAGTTGATTTGTAAAATGAAAGTTTAATGACTTCTGGTTTGGATTGATCTATATGGTTATGGAAATTATGGAAAGAGAGCATTGAAATGTGTGTGAAAAACATGATCATAGGGGGTGGGAGTTCACCCAAGGTATGTGTGGATGTGTGTGTATGGAGAGGTGAGTGAACAAATTCCATATAGTCAGGCTAGCATTATGGGACATCAGGTGCAGCATATTATGGGCTGATACCATGGGTAATCTGATACAACGTTATATTGACACTATTATCATGGGACATTCAGGTAGTCTAGCAACTCTCTAATTCCCATTAAAGTGCTGTTAGGTGTCAACGACACCTCTATCACAAGTGTGTGAGAGGACAGAAATCATAATCTGTGGATGAGAAAGATTGCCTTTAGTTGGGTGTTTCTACTACTAAAAGTATGTTGGGTTATGAGTGATTAATCTAGTAGAGCCTATGGTTTCATGTTAGGAAGTTTAGAGGTTTGATGAATAGATGATCATACTAGTACGTGAAAATAATTTATATGAGAAAAGGTTATGAGTAAAGCCATGTTATGATAAATATATATATGCTACACTTTGATTTAACTACTTTGGCATTGTTATTTGTGCTAATAAACATTAAATGAATTATACTAGTTATTGAAATTTTAATATCACTTGTGATTATTTACATTTTTCAAATTCTGATATTAGTGGTGCGAAGGGAAAGGAGTTGGGCCAAGGATAAAGAATCCTACTAAGCCCATTGTAAGATGGTGTAGTGAATTTGAGTAAATAGTAGTAGTTATGTATATAAGTTTCCATACAAAATAATACTTTTGCATAAATATGTGATTGTGAATGTATGTGTGATTTTGAAATTCTAGCCCATTGAACTATGTATATATGTGTATATGATAGAAGAATAGTATGGGCTAGTAGATAGATGATAGGTGTGTGGAATTGACCATGTGAATGAACGAGATAAAAGAAACGTGATTTTTGCCTAAAAAGTGTGTTGGGGGTAGTTTACAGGCCAATTGTGTGTATATGTTATATTATATATATATATATATATATATATAATAATTAATCAATTAGGTGTATATTATCCATTTGGACGTAGTTAAGGCTCAAAAAGTAGCTAATGACTTATGGTTTTGATTGGTAATGCTCAAGCGATAAATTTTGACTTAAAATGGTCAAAATGCACTTAGATGTTTAATTTTTAAATAAGATATCGAATTGAAATGAAATCAGTTTCATTAGTTAGATTTTAAAACAAGCTTCATGTGAAAACTTGAATCACCCCAATTTGACATCAGATGCAAAAACAACGCACTTCTAAAATTTGTATCAGAATCTAAAAATTTGACAGCGGATTCCAATACGTACACCACAGTGCATGTGACAATGAAGGGCAATATGCCGCGGCGTATGGCACAAAGAGTAACATTGAGATCTCCGTGCCACATGCTACGGCGTATATGGCATGAGCCACGGCACATGGCCCCTGTTTTGACTCAATTAGGTTGAAAATGCACATGTTTTCTTATTCTTTGATGTACTTTTACATATTGTTTCCACTGTGTAGTGTTTTCTAATTTGAGTAATTTGTGAAATGGTTTTAAAAATTTTACTTGGGATCCCAAATTTTCAAAATAAATAATTCTAAATTGTTTAGTAGATTGTGTGGATGATTGTATGGTAATGTCATTGAGGGCATTACACTAAACCTAACCTGATTGTATTTAGTAAATAGGATATGTTGGGTTTGAAGTAAGCCAGACTGTAGGCCTTTGTTAAAAACTTGGCCTATTTCCATCCTTACTTAGCGATCAATAAATGAATTTTTATATTTAATTTTTTTGCATAATAAATTTTCTAAATAATTCATGCCATTTTCACACCATCCACCATCAATTCATCAGTTACACAACTAATCCTTATTGTTTGAGCAAGTCACATGTCCAACCGTTACCAGTTTAATCTTCTTGTACTCACTTCATTTTTATTTATAAAAGAAAAAAACTATATCACACAATTTAAAAAAATCAATTAACTATATTATGTTTGAAAATAAAAGAATTAAACTAGAATATCATTTATTAATTATGTTGATCAAGCCTTCATTAATTGTTTCTTATAACTATGAATGATAAAATTATGCAGGGTAATATAGAAAGTTTTCAACAAATGCCTATTAGAAAATGTGATTTTGCTTATATTAAAAAAGCAAACTAAAAGTGATAGTTTTTCTTATAAATTAAAACGCAAGGAGTATCTTGCACTGTGACTATCCTTCAAGCTGTGATAGCATCAAGCTAACTTACGTGTTACATTAATCATTGCTAGGGTTGTGCAAAAATTCTTTGGCCTTATTTGGTTCAATCCAACTCGAGATAATCCAGTCTAGTTTGATCTGGATAAAACCAGGTCTTTCAAGACCAAAAAGACCAAACTTTTTCTTTGAATTAGATTGGACATGAGACTGAGCATTTGGACTAGTCCAATCCTATAAACTTATTTAATATAATTATAGTTAATTTATTAATTATTATTACAATAAGTTAATTTATAATAATAATTAGTAATTTTTTATATTTTATATTTGTAAAGTCTGAATATTGAGCAAAATTTCAGCATTGACCAATCTGATCTTCTCCTTTTATTAGTGAAATTTATTGTTAACTTGGTGTAATGGACTTTAGACATGTTAATGTTGTGTAAGGTTGCTTAATTTGAATCCTTTTATGTTGTAATTGAAATACTTGTTGTTGCTGTTGGAAATTATTGTGGATTTATAATTGTTGTTGTTGTGATAAATTTTATATGACTATCAATAATTTTATCATGTTGAAATAAATTGTTGCCTCTCGTAAATGAAAATGAAAAAAAAAAATTAAAGTGAGACACTGGATATGACTAAGACCAATCTCCTAATCTTACTATACCAATTTAGTCATGTTCAGCTTTGAGTTATAAAGGACCAAACTAGACTACAGGTTGTCTAATTCAATTCTTTTTATAAAAAAAATTAAATTTTGGATTAAGTTGATGTCTTGTCAAGTCAATCCTTTATACAACCCTAATCGCTGCAATCCTAGTGTCTAGTGGAAAGTGTGCTAGGGGCAAACATTCTACATTATTTTAATTGATCACGGATCCCATCCATTAATGTTTGTTTCTTACTAGCTGGTACCGATTAAGAACAACATATTTTTTATGTAGTACAGGTGATTAAGATTTGAAACACCCTATCCAATCATGGCTAGTGTACATGTCACCTTTGTTGAAGTTTTTAAATAAAAAATACAGAAGTTAATTGAAAAGATAAATCATGTCACAAAGTAGTTAGATTGACTACATTGAGAGAACATTATTTATGGCCGGTTTCATATAATTTATCTGTTGAATTTTACAACAATAGGTTTATTGCACATTGCTTTGACCCATTGAGATGGGGAAAGGAAAGGAAAATAGTTCCGAACAAATCTAAAGGAAAAATAATCAGAAAGCGCCTACGATACTACATATATTATACACAGGGTATCAGTATGGGGGGATCAGCACGCAAGCTGATCTCTAAACGAAGAAATCTCCTCAAAAATTGGGAGCCTCTTGGATCTAATTAGGCCCCATTCACTCATCAGCCTCTCCAGTCCTTTGATAAAATCATCATCCAGCCCAAATATATCTGACAACTGTGGGCCCGGTAGATTGGTCCTCAATTCTACTAGCAGATCTTTGGCCCGTTTCCTCGACTTGCTATCTTCTGACCCTGGAACTTTGCCTGCAATTACTTCGTCCAGAATCATTTGAGCCTGTCCGTATCGAGCCTGCCGCATGAGACATAGGCCCAAGTTACAAGCCTTGTTGCAATCTGGATCAATCATCTGGGCTTTTCTGTATACAACCTCGGCCATCATGTAGTTCCTTTTCTGCATGTAGGCCCAACCCAAATTTCCCTGTTTAATACCATATCCTTTGGTCAATTTTTGCAAAATTACCAAAAAAGGAGCCATTCAGTCTCATAAGAAACGGGTCCTCTATAAGAACGACTTTATCATGATTAATACGTTTCTAATCATGAATTAGACTATGAACCTATGATTGCACAAATTTAAAATAAACCACACTGTTTAAGGCCTATGACCTATAATTTGTTGTGAGTTCGGACTCAGATTATTAAACAGCGATAACCTGATTGGATATGGAAAGTTGATAACCATTTTAAAAAATAAAATTGTCAAGTGCTCGAGGGAACTAAAAATTGCAATGAATCATGCTTTAAATGACGAAGAATATAAGGCAGGAATTGAAGAATGAATACCAGTAATCTAGAAGTTTCTTGCTTGATGGAAACTTGGAACTTCTTGCCATGAGATCGTGCTGTCTTTGTGGGTTTACCATTGAAGGCCTCGCCTTGGTATATCATTTTCAGCTTCCTCTTCAGTAGCTCTATTTGCTCGTCAACTTTTCCACATTTCTACCATTAAACAACAATTTTGCAATCAGATATTTTTGTGTGTGAACTGTGTAAGTGTATATACTTCATGAACTTCCGCAGAAATTCTCAATTACTCTACCTCGCTAAAATATGAGCCATCCAAATATAATTTTATACGACGCCAGCCTTTCAGGGAGCCAATATAAGTTATAAGTGCATGTAATATATCAATTATTCGATCGTAATAAGGAGCCTCTTAAAATCTTATCGGTATATGCTTCGGAAGCAACGATTGTAATTCAATCAATACATTCTCCTTGTTGGTGAAAATTTAGATTGCATATTTCCTTCCAAACCTCCTGCCTTCAAATTGTGAAGTCCACAGATGCATTTAATGTATATTAACGAGTTTTCGTCTACCCATTACCTCCACCGACTATGCATGGACTGCTTTTTATTTAAGAATTATTTTTTTTAAAAAAAATCACTGTTATTTATACTCATAACTAATTGAATCAACCAATGTTTTTGGACATCAAATGCGTTTTAAGAACTTTTCTTCAACTTGTTGGTAGTCACTGGAAATTAGGAAGAAAAAATTGATAGAATAGGAGAGAAGAGAATGAAATTTAAAATGTAGTAGCATCTTACCTTGTAGAGATCGATGAGTACGTTATCAAGTGATTCTTGGGATTGTTTGGAACAAAGGCTTCTAAAAGACTTGATGGCTTCGATGGCTTCTTCTGCTCTATTCAGTTGCTTCATCACCACAGCCATGTCCTTCAATGCGCTGTCCACCCTGTCCCTCGCATTTACTGCCTTCCAAAACAATATTATTGCTCCTTCCGGGTCCTTATCCACTAACTGCGCATCCCTCGTCATGTTTTTGTTCATGCCAATTATTACTATTTGTCAAATTAAATAATATATCTCTCTGGAAGTTCTTAATGCACGGAAACAAAATCTAGTGAACTCATTCAACGACATTAATTACCTAATTTGATTGATAGGCCTCTACCTGCATATATAGATCGATGGAAGAATTCAAGAACCACTCGATAATTTACCTCTTGTTTTCCTAATTACAGCAAAGCAGATAGTAAAAGTAATGCAACAAAGTTCAACTAAATTTTCGCTCTTTTTAACTCATAAAATATATATGTTGAGGGGGCAAAAGATCGGATGGAAGAATCGATTAACCGTTATTGATTTTTTATTTTCTGTTTGCTTTCGAAAAAAGGAAAGCAGAAGTAAAAGAAAACGGGAACCAGTTTCAGCTAAATTTTCAGCAATTTCGAAGGTAAAAAAAAGAAAGAAAAGAAAAAAAAGTCAATAATATTCAACAAAATTGTCACGTAAACGAAGAAGTTGATTTATGGTGGCAGGATTAACTATGGCTTAGTGATATGGTGAACTTAAATTTTAGAACACGGGTCACTGATTCATCCATGGATGTACAGTGCAACAGACAAACCGAATTAATCAGCCAACGAGGAGGAGGAGGAGAAGGGAATGGAGTGAAGGAAGATTAGGAGGGGAAGATCAGAGGAAGAAAGTGCGGGAAAGGGAGAGAACCTGAGCATGCTTGGCTCTGACATAAGGGCTATCACCGCAAGGGACTTTATGGAGAACGTGGTAAAGATGATCCTTCTTCCCTTTTGAGACGGTGCTCTTGGTATCGCACACACTTTCTTCCATTTCCATTCGCTCCGCCCCACGTCTCTATTTCCCTGAAACTGGAGAAGGGGCTGTGCAGAAGAAGAAGATGCAAAGTCGACGAATTGGAGTCCAAGTCCAAGTGGTGAATGCAGGGTGAGGCTTAGAGAGAGATAGAGAGAGAGAGAGAGAGAAGGCAATGGTGATCATGAGGATTTTGGGGATCCCATGGACTCTGAACCTGGCCGACTTTGCGTCCACCTTCGTTCTCACAGATTAAAAACCCAATCGAGGAATCCATATTCCGCGGGCGGACACGTGTCCATCTCTGATTGTACCCTCCGACAGTCTGCCTTTGGACCAAATTACAGAATTACCCTCACCAACACGGGACGAAGCCTGAGAGTAAATTGTGCAATTTACTGTGTTCAAAATCGATGCCAACTGATAGCACCTAATCAAACCGAATTAGATCGACATAAACTGATCAAATTAACTATAAATAAGGTTTAATTTTTTAAAAAAAATGATTGATTTGATTTGATTTAAATTTTATTTCTTAGATTTTAAATTAAACCAAATCAAGTATTATTATATTTATTTTATATATTCTTATAAATTTATCTAATTTTTTTCTAAATTTAGTTATCTAAAAATTGATGGTTAAAAATATGTTCTAATTAGTTAAATATTATCTATAATTTTTATGATATTTTTAAGGGCACCTGTCTATAATTAGTTAAATATTGTTTACAATTAGAAAAAATGGTATTATATATATTTGACAATGAAAAGTTATTGCTATTGGTATTTTTCTGCAAATTAAAGAAACATTTTTTTTTTGCAAAAACTAACGCTCAAATTTCATGATAAATTCATTATAAACATAGTTTGATCGAGTGTAAGTGAATTAAAATTATATAATTCAAAAGATGCTTACAGTTTTATTAATTTTTAATAATTAATGATCTAAAGAAGCATATATATGATTATTTTGTTATGAGTTTAAAATATTTAGAAAAAAATAAAAAAAATTCTGTAAACTAACAAGTGGCTGTAAAAATGCATTCTATAAGAAAAAATGACGCACCCATACTAAGCGTAAGTTATAAGAAAAAAAAATTTAAATAAATGAATTAAAACTTAATTTAAATTTTAACCAACTTGAACCAAACTAAATCAATTTCTCAAAAAACAATCAAGTCTCAATCATGAGTGAACCAAGTGATTTTAATTTCGTCTGATTTTTGCTTAAAACTGAACTAAAGTGAGCACATGAACACCCCCTATATTAATATTAATGAGAAAATCACAATCAAAAACCCTTGAAAAACATATTGACAGTTGAGGACTAATGAATACTGATTTAACATTGCAATTCCTATGGTCTTAATTGTAATTGATTGTGATTGTAAAAATACATAGTTGCCCTTGACCAAGTGTGTTCATTTAATGAACAAATCACTATTTATAAAATAACAACACTCCATTTTATTTTAACAAAAAATAATTTGCATAGTGATAAGTTCAAAATAAAATAATTTTCATCAATAGAACCAAATATATTCATGTGGTGAATAAATCACCATTTACAAAATAGCAATACTTTATTCTATTTTAACAAGAAATATTTTTCATAATGACAAGTCCAAAATAAAACTATTTTTATTAACAAAATCAAGTGTATTCATGTAGTGAATAAGTTATCATTCATAAAATAATAATACTATTCCATTAATTTAACAAGAAATAATTATCATAGCTAAAAGTTCATAATAAAGACATTTTCAATGATAAAACCAAGTGTGTAAATATAGTAAACAAATCACCATTGGTAAAATTATAACACTCCATCACATTTTAATAAAAAATAATATCCTTATAATTTATCCAAAATACAGTTAGAGATAATTATGTATTTTCACAATCACAATTAATTATCATTAGGATTTCAGGGACTGTATTGTTAAATTAAAATTCATTGGTTTTCAACTGTAAGTATGTTTCTTCAGGAATTCTTGGCTGTGATTTGCCCGATATTAATTCATGGAAGCAACTCAAGCGAGGGTAATGCCTCATAAGGCCCCTGTTCTGTCTTTCCCAAGGTGTTCGTCTCATCCATACAACAGTAACATTCACAAATTCTATCCCTTCAATTGCTTCGCTTTTCAAAATAACCAGCCATACACCTCGCAAGTCGCAATGATGCCTTTCGTACTTTATTTAGCTAGACAATTTCCCATATACTACTAGGGTTGAATTTAAAAAATTTAAAATAATTATTATGAATATTATTAATACCAATGCATTTGAGATCATTAAACTTTTAATAATTTCTCTATTCGATTATTTTCTTTGTTTTTGAATATTTTATTTACATACATTTTCTCTTTGTTTGTTGAACCTATAATGTGTTATAGAGAGAGTTTGAAAAAGTTAAATATTTGATGATTTCATCATATATGGCTGAATTACGAAAACTTTTAAATATATATCCTAATCTGAATTGAATTGTTTCTGGTTAAATAATCTCTTTTTAATTGCTCTGAAACAATTAAGAGTTTCTCTAAAAAAAATCGAGCTTCTGTTTGTGGCAGCAACATGCTATGGATTGGTGGTCTTACTTATAAGATGAAATCAATTACAAATAAAATGCCATATATGAATAAAATTTTATCAAAAAATTAATTATATCTCTTTGAAAATAAGAAGTTAGAAGGCCAAAAGCATAAAGTGGTAGGTTTTTCCTTTAACTATATTCTTCTTTGTTTGTTGCCATCATTCACTCCATGAGTAAGTTAGAAAAAAACCTTATTATTTTGATATTTGTAAAATGAATTACTTGATGGAAACTACAGTTCATTAAACGCTTTTTTGTCAACCACCTGCAAACACAACTTTTTAGGAAATTAATCTTGAATACATTCAGTTTCTAAAAAAACATTATAATGGAAGACTTTTGGTTGGAAAATCAATTATGATAGTAGAAGTGGTTGGAAGGATTGAAATGAAAACATATGTCAATTCAATAGTAGAATATTAGAAAAATAGTTTTGTGGATTTCAATGAAATAATTAAGAAGTTGAATATTTAAAATTTAATCTTTCCCAATATTTGAAGTGATTGGAATTTAATTTTTACTATCAAACATTGAAATTGGTATTAAAAAAATGGTTATGCAAGTTCCAATAAGATAAATAAGAATTTGAATATTTAGAATTTAGAAATTAATTTTTTTTAATATTCAAAGTGACTGTGATTCAATTTTTACTACCAAACATTGAGACTGATATTAGGAAAATAGTTTTACAGGTTCCAATGAGATAACTGAGAATTTAGATATTCAAAATTTAATTTTTCTCAATATTCAAAGTGATTGGGGTTTAATTTTTATTGTCAAGAATTGAAATTGATATTTTACATATTTTACACACTTGACCATAAATGTTCATTAATGGAGTGATGGGAGAATGTGTGAATGGAATATGGAATAATTAACCTTAATTGGTTAGTTATAATGATTTTTTTTGCAAGAAACAGAATGAGTAATAATATAAACAAAGACAAATCTAACAGAGTTATAGTGAGAATATGGTTTTTCAAGTTTTAACTTTTGGTAATTGAATATTATTAGGTGGTTTTCATATTCATATTTTAATGGATGATTTTAAATTTAAAATGAAAGAAGCAACATAAAAAAGAAATTTGAAAGGTCGCGATTTTTTCAATCCGTGCAAGTTGAGCCAAAAAAAACTACTAAAACAAAAATCATGCCTTCTATTTTACAATTGGGTTCTTATAATCTTCATCTAATGTAGTAAAATCGATCAATTATAACTTCCAATAAGATTCCATAGTTCTTTGACTTGATTCAATTATTTTCTAAACTAGTCAAACAAAACTCACTCAATGATGACAAAACCAACCAAATAATTTTTAAAATAAAACATATGTGGAAAATAGAATGTTGATGGGTAAAGAATCAATGATGGTTTAAATAAAATATCTGTGCTGATAAGGCAAACATGAACAGCATCGGACACCTCCTTAATGTTGTGCTTAGGTTCTCACAGATTTGGATTTGGATTTGAATTTGGATTTGGGCCAAATCCCTTATTTGGGCATTTAAAAATATGTAGATTTGGATTTGACTCAAATCTAAATCTAAATCCCATCTTAATTCCTTCAGAATTTAAAATACTCTCTCACACCCTATTATTTCAAATCTCTCACCCCTCGTCTCACATCGTGATTGGTTTTTATTTGGGTTATCTCATAAAGTCATCTTGTTTTCTACTCCAATCGCGTCTCTCCCACTCAGGTACCATTCTCGTCTCTTTTGCTCAGGTGAGTCCCAATCTCTCACCCCTCGTCTCACATCACGATTGGTTTTCATCTAGGTTATCTCATAAAGTCATCCCGTTTGCTTCGCCAATCTAGTCTCTCTCACTCAGGTGAGTCCTAATTATTTTCCTAATCTCTTAAAGCTTCTTTATGTTTCATCCATATGCACATCATCACTGTCCTCTTTGTCTCTTCTTCATTTCCTCTTCTCTTACCTTATTTCTCTTAATTCCCCAAGTATGTTTTAGACTGAGCAAATCTATATATGCTGGGTGAAATGGATTTGAGATTTTACATTTTATTTGAGATTTCTCTCTTTGTTGTTTTTTATTGTTTGATCCTTAGATGAATTTCTGTTTTCTATTCTAATATTCAATGAGCTTGCTCTTGCTTTTGGATTAATCAAGACGAGTCCAGATTCTGAAATCTGGATTGTGAAAAATCTAAGATCTAGTGGGTACTGTCATAAATTTATGAAATTAGTCTCTAGGGTATACTAAAGAGATATCATAATAAGAGAAAGGATACGTTTCCATCATTTCAAAAATGGTGACTGCTCTTGCAAGAATTATTAGTAGCATGAAGATTGTTATTAGATATTGACAAGTAATTTGCTTTGAGATATTCAGAATCATACAAGACACAAGAACTACTAGCTTTGAGACATAATTTGGCAATTGAGAACTGTAGATATTAGAAATGTTCACATCCAATGTCGACTACAAAAAGGAAACTCTTCATTTTTTTATGTATCTTGTTTATTACTTTCTTTTATTTAGTGGGGAAAAAATCATTGAAGTATTTATTATTGTTGAGACTTGATATTTATATAATTAATCTAAATAGTCACAGGAACCATGATATAAGAAATGTGACTTTATGGTTGAACAA